ACTCAAAATGATCAAATTCATATGTACATATATGTATGTGTGTACGTAAAAATGCAAAGACAATTTTGTTTATCAATTTAATATTTTTTATTTTTTTAATATTATTTGACCTTCAGTGTAATACATTAAAATGGCCGACTCTAATTTCTGGACAAGTCGAATTTGTGAGAGTTCTAATATGTGAGACTCTACTGTATGTTCATATGTACATAATATGTATGTTTTTTTTTCCTTTGCTCACTGCCGTCCATATCGTGACGTCTCCCACCAACTTCCACCAGGTTGCTAAGTGACAAACCCCTGCCAGCCGCTCGCCTTAGTTCGCTCCTGATGCTATCGAAGCGCCCGCATACAAATATGGTAAGCGCAGCGTCTTCTGCAGTGTGGAGAATCGTCGTGGCCAAATCTGCACAGGTGCTAGGCGAAGCAGCCGTGTCCACTGAGCAGTTGTGTGGTGTAGAAATTAACCGCACCGTGGCCCCTGTTAGTCCAGGTTCTCGAATCTGGGATGAGGCGGTGGGTCCACCGACCGTTTTCCGAGCTGTCCCAGCGACTTTGCCAGACACTGAGGCTCTCCTCTCTAGCCTGCTCTCGCGCTGCCTTCCGTTCGACTCCTGCACGAGTCGCCAATGCCACGTTCCTCTCCTCGATGATTAGCATGTCGATTGGGAATACTCCTGCGATGACCAGCACAGCGTCATCTGAAATGGTCCGAAAACCACAGCAGATCCGGAGCGCGCAGAGACGGTGGATGGACTTCACGCCCGTGGTGTAGCTGGCGACTTTAGCGCTTTCCGGCCAGCGTATGTTAATGCCTGAGCGAACGACGCTGGTCCGCAGCGAACTCCAATCCGAATGTGCGCTGTCTCCACCAACGCACGAGTGCTAACCAGCACTGCCTCAGTCAGTAGCCAGTCTGCGATCAGTTTGATAGCCGCGTTGCAATTTGCCTCTGCCGCGTGCAAGTGCTTTGCCACTACCGAGAGTGCCACGTCGTCCGCGAAGTGCAAGCCGAGCCTCATAGCAGTGGGCCCATCACCGATCCTTGAGGGACGCCTTTCGAAGCGCTGTGGAATTGAGTGCCAGTATCCGTGTTGAAATTTAGCAGTTTAGCACACGACCCAACAGCCATCTGTTAGGGATCTGTATGGCTCGCTGATGATGATGATGGCGACATCCGATCTCTGGTCACGTACCGACTGGGTGAGCAGGTAGCTGGCAGCAGGTTTATCTGGTAGAACCTAAGCATGACGATTGTTTCGTGCTTTCGCCTGAGCTGTGGGAGCCATTGGACACCTGGCGCTACCTGTTGCATGCTTATTTGGCTGGCCCTTGATAGCGCAATAGAAACATTTGGCCTCATTATGGAAGTCGCGTATCTTGTGGTCCGCGGCTCCACAACGGAAGCATCACCCGCTTCTATCCACTGTGCTTTTACATTTCGCTGCAATGTGACCCCCCACTCTAAGCTCTTAAAGCACTTGGTTGAGAGATTGCGTTCCCGGATACGGCAGACGGACCAGGAAATCTTGACCTTCCAATGGAAAGCACCTTCATTGCCAGAGTTACCGGGATGCTGACAATAGCCCGCTGGGTGCCACCAAAATGTACCACCACATATATACATACATATGTATGTACATATGTATAATGCCTTAGGTAACAAATGCATAATACAGCTTATAAAATAATAGAAATACCAAAGGTATTAGCAACGGAAGCTGTTAAGAGTATACATTACATTGGATTGGCCAAAATTTGATACACCAATTTCTTTTCAAGGGGACACCCCCCAATTCTGTTCTTTGTTATTCAATAAAATTATACAATTTTTTTCATATTTTTATCCCCACAAAGAGTTAGGGGGGGGGGGGGCGGGGGGGGGCGGCGCGCGCGGCCGGGGCGGCGGCGGGGGCCCGGGGGGGGGCCCCGCCGCCGGGGGCGGGGGGGGGGGGCGGCGGCGTAGTTTAATGTTTGGGTGTGCTACCACGAAAAGAAAATAAAAATGTTTGGGTAAATAAACATTAATATATTAATATTAATATACATTAAAAAAAATTGAATTCGTCGGTTTTTTCAAATAATATTGAAACTTAGAAACTTGTATATGTATTTTAAATTTTTTTTTTTTTAGTTACTGTTAAAGAATTAACGATTGGGGAAAATCAAGAAGTTCAGCTGAGGTTGATATATTTAGTTAACTTCCTCGCAAAAACTGGGCAGGTTTTTTACTGCCAATAACTGATTAATGACGATATGAATGCTATCAATATGTATCCAATAGATTTCACCAATTATCCAACTAATTCAGCGAAAATTGTTGTTGTAATTTTCTTAATTAAAATTGTTTGTAAAATTCGGCAGCAACCTCTAAAAAATAAAATAAAGAAATGTAAATTACTACTAAATTCAAGGTTACAAATCTAGGGGGTGGCCCGTTTAAATTTCGAAAAAGATTTTTTGGCCCAGCCTAACATACACACACATTTATTTATATACTGCAGTGTTCATTTCCTTCTGTCTTTTCTTGTTTTCACACGTTGTAATGCATTGATGGCATTGCACATCATTTTCGACTAATTGTTAAGGGGTATAGTAGTTTCCGAGTGGCGGGTAATTGATAGTCAGACTTTTAACTATTCAGTCTTATTTATAAGTTTATTTTATATTTTTTTATAAGTTTAACTGAATAAGCCCGAGAGCAAGATATACCCAAAACAGGTTAGGCCTGTGAGCAGGGGCGTTGCCAGGAGTTCAGATATTCAGATTGGAGCATACATACAAACATATGTGTGTGATATGTGCGATAAATAGTCGAAGGGGGTTGGGGGTCGATTAACCCAAATTAATTTGCATGCACTAAAGTTTGGCCAGAAAGCGGACTATTTGGCTGAGTGTTCTTAGCCCTTAACGGCTGAAACGCATTTTGAGTTTGGTTTTTTTCGTTTCGTTTCTTAAAATATTAACACACATACACATGTAAAAAGGTTACAAAACCAACACCAAATTATACACAAGAACAGGGAACACAGAGAAAAACAGAAGAGTAAGCAAAGAAAGAACGACGTCTAGTATTAGTTCCAGTATAGAGATGCTTTCATCCCTGCTTTGAAAACGCTGTGGCACTAGGCGTCGTTTAAAACGATATCGTCTAAGCAAGCAAACGATATGAAGATTACGTATCTACAAACCCACAAAAAAACTCAGAAATAAGTTATGAATAGTTTTGAAAGAATGCTTTGTTTTTTTTCTTCATTTCTCATCCATACCACCAAAATGTTCCACAAAGAAACGTGGCACGGCCCTCTGGTTCATTATATTTACGTTTTTAGTTCCCCAAGTCTATAAGAAGAAGATAGGGAACGTTATGAGTCGCTGCGGTGGCCGCTACTCTACTTTTAAACCTGTACTCAGTCAGTGTATATGTGAGCTTATGATTTATGTGGAATTTTTATACCCGTACCCAAAAAGTTAAGGGTTTCCTACCCTATTAAGTATATATATTCTTGCTCAGCATCACCAGCCGAGTCGATATGGCCATGTCCGTCTGCCCTAATATCGAATATACCGAATATCTGCCGAATATCGTACAGATCGAATTATTATTATAACCAGAATGAAGAACTTAATTTTACCCCGCCCCCTCAGCACAGCAGACGCTACGTATTCTGTATCTCGCTCGCACATACTCTGCCCTGTGCAGTGCGCGACCTTTCGCCAAGAAGATGTCGAATCTACATTGTAGATGTAGATGCGCAAAATTGTCTGCTGTTATACCCACGCGTTAGAGCCAGCTCATACAAAACGGCCTCTGTTATGTTTAACAGAGATTTATCGATAGCCGAATCAGGCTGCCACAGCTGTTTGGAGGAATTCACTATTTTTTTGTTTCTCGGACCAATATTTACAGATCCAATATTGGGGTTGGTTTAGGAAAAAATTATTTATGCGTTTATTTACGCGAATGCCGGAGCGCCTGACTTTTCGTTTTGAAAATTAAATAACTTTTTTTTTGTGAAAGTGAAAACCGGAGCCTTCACGAATAAATATATTATAATATTCATACAGCTGCCTCTCCCTTGTTTAAATATTTCATTTTGAAATGTTTACGTTTGTGTTTGCTATTGTACCTGGCGGAATATGGAACATTTATATATTTTTCGAGCGGCTAGCAACATACCAACGAATACCAGCAAATACCATCGGCTGCTTTTCTAGTATCTGTTGGCCAATTTTTTCATTGAAGTGAGTACTGCCCGCCGTACAGACCCTAGCACACAGTTTGTGCCCCGGTTTCATACGAATATCAACCCTGATTTTGATAGCAAGCAGTTTGTTCGGAGCTGAATCCTAGGCTTTACCAATAAAACAGTTAGCAGCTGAGAGTGGGCAATGCAATAGTTCTTTTGACAGCTTTCTAGAAAACTATCTTTCTGAGACCACAAATTAAAAGGCACAAAACAAACGAAGGACAACATTATTCGGATGATTTGGCAAACCTCTCGAGATAAAATCTGTAGAGTTTACTGGTGGTGCACTCTGATATGAAAAAAAAATCGGTTTGATGTCAGAGTTTTGTTGGGTGTTGCATAGTGTTGTCTGAGCAGAAAAGAGTCATAAGGCTACCCTTCTCCGCACAGCGTCTGAACTAATTGAGTAATTTGCTCAACTTGATTGCTTTCGAGTGGAGCTGTCAAACAAATCCTGGCACATGCAATACCTACAACCGTACTCGTGCACGCTGCCACGAGGTCTGTGCCGTCATGGGGTCGTTCATTATTTCGCACTAATTAACGCTTTGCGACAAAAGGTTGCGCTTTATTTTTTCAATGCTGTCGCTTCAAGTGCTGCTGCTCCCATTGCAACTGAACCTGCAACAGGCACTGCTACTGCTATGCTACGGGTATTGCCGTCCCTCCTGGAGCACTTGTGTGGGACGGGCTTCGTCCTAATTGCTGTTTATGAGCGGGCTGGCCCAGTAATTAAACGATTTCTTTTGGGGCGCAAACTGTTTCATTGAGAAGGTGCTTCGTTTACACCTCCACCTCCAGCCTGCGAGGTAGGTTTGCTAACTTCACACATACCATGAGTACAAAACATATCAACATAAAACAAAAACAAACCATGGTGCTTATTGATAATACATATGTACATATATCAGAAGTTGAAAAATAAATTAGAAAATTTTCTGAGTATGAAAAGCTATGGCATCCTCGGCTTTGGTGATCTGAATCCCAGACTGCTTCTGCAACTACTGCATCATCGGCTCGGCTGTATCCCGCTCAATATAGAAGGGCGCAGCCCCGATCTGCTTGCACTTGTACTTCAGCTTACAGCACTCCGGGAAGGGTTTTCCATGGTGGATGCGCTCGCCTCGATTGCAGTTCTCAATACGTAGTTTGCCGCAACTGAAAAACAAAAAGAAATCATTTTTCAGTTGGATTTTTTCGGAATGTACATTGAACCAGCTTCTTCCCAAAATCAAGTTTTGCACCAATTACACTACTTAACACAATTTTTTGAACCAAACCAACTTTTTATACCCGTACTCAAAGAGTTAAGGGGTATATTCGATTTGGGTAAAAGTGGATGTGTGTAACGCAGAGAAGGAAACGTTTCCAAACCCATAAAGTATATATATCCTTGATCAGAACAAATATCCGAGTCGATATAGACATGTCTGTCTGTCCGTCCGTCCGTCTTGTTTGACGCCTAGTTGTCAGAGACTATACGAGCAAGAGCAACCAAATTTTGTTTCCAGACTCATGGGATATCACACTGTTACAAGTATATTTCAAAATTTCGCCCCGCTTCCTTCGGCCAACACAAAGAACAAAAATCTGTGGCAGCCACAATTTGAAAGATACGAGAAAGCTAAAAATGTATTGTAGAAAATTACCATATCAAATCATTATTATAGACAGAATGAAGAAATTAATTTTCAGCTGCCTTCTACTACTACTCATTCTCTTTTTCGCTCGCACACACTGTGCCCTGTGCAATTCGCGACCTTTGCGGAGATGTATAATATACATACATTGTATAATCTACAGTTTAGATGTAGATAAAGATAAAAGATGTAGCTAAAAAATTTAAAATAATTTTAAATTCTACATAAATCATAAGCTCAACAAATTATATACTGACTGAGTAAAAGTAGAGTCGCGTCCACAGAAGCGACTCACACGTTCCTTCTCGTGTTTTTTAGATTTGGAGCTTCAAAAATTATTAATGATAATAATTTTTAATAATTTTATAATTATTTAAGAAAGTTTAAAACCCCTCAAATCTAACAGAAAAAGTTGGTTTAGTTCGAAGCGTAAATAAAAAGTTAAATTTTGTTGAGTAGTGTTATCGGGCAAAGTATATTTTAATTTTTTTTTTTACGGACGTGGATGGTCCCCGCTAATGCAAATTCATTCTGATCAATATCCATCAATAAGCACCGAGTCGATATATGTATGTAGTACATACATAAGTATGTATGTACATACCAATGTCTGTTTGTCCGTCCGTCCGTACGTCCCTATTTCCGTCGTGCTTAACGGCTAGTTCCCAGAATTGCAATCTGCATAGATCATATGCACAAATAGATAGATTTCAGATTTAGTTTGATTGCTATATTACTTAACATACATACAGTTGTGTTCATTGAAATAGTAGTGCCGCACCTCCCTACTTTCAAAACTCTTTTTGAGATATTTCTAGTCCTTCAAATTGAACAAGTGATACCTTTACGGAAAGCCTAGAATGTAAGCAATAGAAACTTGAAGAAACTCCGTTACATTTGCATTCCATCTTCTTGTTTTTCATGACTTTAGACAACTACCCATGATATCTGCTGTTCAATGAAATAGTAGTGCTGGGATAAATTTATTTTTTAAAATGAAAAAACAAAGCAAATTAATTTAAACAAGTCACCACCCGTAAGCTCAATTTGGTTATCAAATAATTTGATGAAAGAAAGTTTTGTACATAGCGGTACTTTTGATTTTGAAGCGTTGAAGAAATCATTACTCGGACCAGAAGAGGATACCTAAGATTTAGACTAAAAACTTAAGGCAGAAGGTATATTGGAATTGAAAACTAAGTTGTATGCACTCTCACTATTATATTTAACCCAATTTACTATAAGAATTCGACTGAAAATCAATTTTGTATTCGAAAAACATATTTTTTAGAGGGTGGTAGGCTATGGTCGAAGGCAAGACCAGGCCTTCAATATCCTCAAAAATTATGAAAAAAATTTTTAATCGCTCTGTCAGTGATGTGACAGTTCGTAGACGGTTGATTACATATTATATCAATGCAAGAAGTGCCTGAAGGCTCCGCGTTTGGGTATGAGAGTACATGGGTGCACGACTTCAGTTTGGAAAAACGCATGTGGAATGGCCTGTGTCACAGTGACAAAAATACTTTTTACTAATGATAGTAAAGTTGTATTATATGGTAAGATAGGCTCAAAAGAATATGTTTGGCATTCACAGAAATCCGATTACCACCTAAAATCATGAAAAATATAGCATTGGGCATGCTATGCTGAGCATTATGGGGCCCAGCTCATATAAGCTAGTACTTTCTGGCCTGGCGTTTGAGTATAGTATGGTTTTGAGCAAAACTGTGTATGTAGGTATACTTTAGAATACATTACATTCATATTACAGTTGAAAAATTCATGTTAAAAGGATCTTTTAACAGGATAGTGACTTAAAATACCCAGGAAAACTCGCTAGGAATTGATTTTTATCGGAAAAGATCGACGTTTTTCCATGGCCAACTGTCCAACCGGATATAAATCTCATCGAAATCTTATGCTGGAATACCAAATATATTGTTGACACCGCAAATCCGTGAACCAGAGCCAAGTTTTAGCAAGTGGTTAATGGATTATTGGCTCAAATCCTATTGAAGCGTTGGAAAGAGATTAATGACCCATATCCGGCCGGTGCAAGTTCGCAATGAAAACCAAATTGATTAAAAACGAAATATTAAAGCTCAAGAAACATGAAGAACATGAAATATATGTTTTTATTTGAGTTTCGTTGTTTTTTTCAATGTTCTAAAAAAAAACTACTATTTCATTGAACAGCATATTTCATGGGTATTTGGCTTATGTCATGTAAAACAAGAAGATGGAACTCAAATGAATGGATATTTCTTCGGTTTTCTAATGGTAACAGTCCAGTCTATTTAAAAAGGTATCATTTTTTCAATTTGGATAACTGGAAGTGTCTCAAAAAGAGTTTTGAAAGTGATGAGGTGCGGCACTACTATTTCATTGAACACAACTTTATGTATTGAGATTGAAAACCTGGTAAGGGGGTGACATCCGAAAACATGGACCAACAATAACTTTCAATCTGTAGTCGAGATCTCGTTTTGAATCTGGGGTAAACATTCAGTTAATGTCAATTTCGTGTTGTCTTCCCACCTCGTTGGCTAATCTTAATTTTTTGGAGGACTCGCTATACGTGTACATACGTATTGTATACAGTATTTACATACATATACATATGTTGCTATGTCATCCATCTCTTCTCGGTTGACCTACAATTTATGTATATGTACTCATGTTTTGCGCAAGAAGTCGAAAGTGGTTGGGATCGCGTCACGTCAGAGACTCAGTGTATTTGTGTGTGTTGATGAATGTATGTATGTACATATGTATGTATGGCTTATCATTTGCCTGCTGTACTCATGGGCAAGTAGAGTACTCTACACTCACCCCTCTATAAGTATGGAGCCGTCCTCGTTGCATATCAGGCGCTGACAGGGAGAGATACCGTTGTTGACACCCAACTCCAAGACATCGCCCCGATAAGTGCATCTGCCTGGATTTGCTGCAATAAAAGTCACGGATAAATGGGGTGGGACTCTCCCAATGGCGCCTATATGGCACATCCGCTTACATGGATCCGGCGGTATCAGGCCTGAATAGGCGCTCACCTGTGCCATTGCCAGGGCACTTCCGATAGCCAGCCAGGCCAGAAAGTGTGTAGACCGATCTTGGGACATTGGTGCTGCCGCGCTCGTGTTCGAAACTGCACTGAATCCGACTCGATTCTGACTCTCAAGCGATTGGATCTGATCCGATCCGCTGTTGTCAGCGCCACTCTGTATACTCACTCACTCACCCATAGAGATCGCGGAATCGTCGTGCTGTCTCGCTCCTTGCCGTCTTACCGCTCTGAGAATCGTCAATTGGGGTTTGTTTTCGTTATTTTCGTTTATTATTGTCTATTACTCTTTAATTGATGAATGGAGCGAAGTCTATTCCACTCAGAGTCGGCGGCTCGTCTCATGTGCGTGGCCGGGTCAGGCAGCTTATCGGCTATAGCCGACTCAAAGGGTGCGCTGGCGGCCTGTCCATTTACATAATTTTACTGTTTTAAATTGTTTTAGAAAAACAGGCGAACACGCCAGAATGACAAAACGATAGAGAGAGAGGGCGTCTTTTGTGTTTTAAATCGTTCGTAAAGGGCTGTCAACAATATGATGCGGAGCTACATACATAGTTTCGTTTGTCTCCGAATTGTACTAGCTCGTGCCTTTATTAGCTGTTAACTTCCTCGACTTTTTGATACCGTTCTCTGACGTGGATTTTTTGCAGAATAGCAATTAACTCAAGACTAACTATAAATAAAACGAGAAGGAACGTGTGAGTTTCTTCTGTGGACGCGACCCCGTACTCAGTCAGTATATACAATTTTTAAGCTTATGATTTATGTACAATTTTTAATTATTTGACAATTTACATTTTTTTTTTTGCTACATCTGTTATCTACATCTACAATGTGGATTCCTCTACTAAAATGTAAATTACACTACTCCACAATTGAATATTTTCTTCCTTCCTGAATATTTTCTTCCAAAATGACTTTTTCTGAAAGATTTCAGGATTTAAAATTTTTTAAAGTATGTTTTTTTATGGTTTAGTTTTTTTTCCAAAGAATTTTTGAAATTTTGTATTTGTTTCATGTTTTTTTTCAGAGGCAGTGCTTTTATTTTCAACATAACATAACTTTCGTATATCTGTTGCAGTTCTGAAAAGCTGACAAATGCAGCTATAAATCCGATCCAGACACTTTGTAGCTGCAGCTAAACGTCTGGAAGATACAATTTTTTTTGCTGTATTTTTTCCCGAAATTTTGACTGCTGGTCCAACTGCCAAAATGGGATTGCTGGAAACAAAAAAGACCTGTAGTTTTGGTTTTACCGAGTCCAAGGTATGGATATGGATCTCAGATATAAGCCCTACTTGTTCATGTCCATTTGGGTTGTAAATGTTGTGGACAGTTACCAGAGATTCACGGCTCTGAATTTTTCGTTTGTTCATTAAAAATAACTGGAATCGGGAGATCCATGAAAGGGGGTTACCCGAAACAACCTGGTCAAGGCTTTACGCTTCCTGCTCCTCCTTTATAGGCAATACCGCCACTAAAACGCAAAATAAGAGGAGATGTTGTCTTCGTTGCATGGAACAACGGATTCAAGTAATGACCAATCAGGAGAATATCAATATTGCAAGCCTCTTTCACAGGAACAATTGAATGATTTGGTGAGGATCCTGGATCTAAAAGTAAAGCCGAGCCTCTGGGTTATTTTTTAAAGGATGCCCCTTTATTGAAGAAAGATGTCAAAAGAACTCTATTCCGGACGCGTCATTTGGTTCACGCACAATTTTATTTGACGAAGGATTAGATTTGCGTTTTCCACGACATTTTCGGACTCTTCAAGCAACTGGGTGAAGCTTACGACCCAAAAGATTGGAGGTTATTTGTTGACAGCCTTAAGGAAAGTTTAAAGGCTGTTTTGTTACACAATGGAAACCAAAAGCCGTCTGTTCCCATCTCCCATGCTGGTAATATGAAGGAAACATATCCAACAATGGCTAAATTGTTTGAAAACATAAAATATAAAGAACACCAGTGGAAGGTCGCGTGTGACTTAAAAGTCGTAGCCATGTTAATGTTGACGGGACTGCAAGGTGGTTACAAAATACGGCTGCTTCCTGTGCCTATGGGATAGTAGAACTAGAACTCCGCATTACTCAAGAAAACTCTGGCCAAAACGGGAGGAAAACACATTGAAAATTACAACATACAAAATGCAGCTTATTTTACCACCATTACACATTAAGCTGGGACTAATGAAAAATTTGGTTAAAGCACTGGATAAGGAAGGTGAATCGATGAGTTATTTGATGGCCCCCAAATTCGAAAACTACTAAAAGATGACGGATTTGAAAATATTTTATCTACGGATGATAAAGCAGCCTGGAACTCATTCCGACTGGTTACAACAAATTTTCTTGGTAACAGCAGGAGTGATGATTACGCTAATATCGTTCAAGAACTAATAAAGAAATTTGATAAAATTTGAGCCATGTCACTAAAATTCCATTTCCTGCACTCCAACTTAGACTTTTTTCCGACATGCCTAGGGGACGTTAGGGATGAACACGGAGAGAGATTTCATCAACAATTAAAATCTATGGAACGACGGTATCAAGGTGTTTGGAAAAGGAAGTTGTTGGGCGACTATGTGTGGACTCTCATAAGGGAATCTGATTTGAATGACAAAGGAAGACAGCCAAGCTACCATTTTAGAAATAGTAAAAAGCAGTACAACCCCAATCCATCACTAACCTTAAAAATATTGTATTAACATACCTAAAAACTCAGGAATAGTCGAAAAAAATTATATCCTATGAACTCTATTTTTTTATGTATTGGTGCATTAATTAAGCGTCGTTTAAGGTAAAGAAAAGAAGCGCTACCTCTGAAAAAAGCTTAAAAATTAAAAAATTATTCAAAAAAAGTTCTGCCGTAGAAAAAAACGAGCAGGAACGTGTGAGTCGCTTCTGGGGACGCGACTCTACTTATACCCGTACTCAGTCAGTATATACATTTTTGAGCTTATGATTTTAAAATTAGACAAACAAATTTTACATATTACATTTTTTTGCTACATCTGTTATCTACATGTAGATTGTATATTTTATATTTATATATTATATATATTTATTTGTATATTTTACATCTTACATGTAGACTATAGATGTACCATTCATATTCTACATTGAACGCGGCAGAGTGTGCTAGCGAGAAAGAGAATGAGTAGCGGTTCTCTGGCTGGCGGAGGCGGGGCAACCAACAGAAAATTAATTTCTTCATTCTGGCTATAATTATGATCCGATCTAATTCAGATTCGGCGATCTGATAGATATGGTCATTTTCTACGATACTGCGTTTTTAGTTTTATTCTATCTTTAAAATTGTGCCTGCCACAGATTTTCGTCCTTTGTGGGGGCGGGGCGAAATTTTGAAATACACTTGTAGCAGTGTGATATCACAGGAAATTGTAGTAGTCTGGAAACAAAATTTGGTTGCTCTAGCTTTTATAGTCTCTGAGATCCAGGCGCTCATCAAGACGGACAGACGGACAGACGGACGAGACGGACGAAGACGGACAGACGCAGCACTAACTGAGAAGACAAGTAGTGTGACTGCATTGATCAAGAATATATACGTCAGAATCGGACATGGCTACCTTCTCTCTTTCAAAATATACATAAATATACCTTTGGGCTAGCGGGCTTTTGCCCACGGCCCTCTGGGCACGAGCTAGCGGGCGGGCGAGCCCGGCCCGGGCCCCCCAGTCGGAAACGTTTCCTTCTCTGCGTTACACACACCCACTTTTAACACAAATACAATATACCCCTTAACTGTTTTTGAGTACGGGTATAATTATGTTATGCATAGATTTTGGTTAAGAACGACAAATCACAAAATCACAAATTACACTGAACAATGGGCCAGATTCCCTTTTTTTTTGTTAGAGGTCAGATGTTTGGTCAGCTGTTTGTCTGTAAAAATAAGCGGAAAGCTTTAGTTCCCATTTGCGCTTTGTTGTAGCAACACCATGTATCCCTTGCTACAAAATGGAAAATAAAGGTCAAGGTATTCCAAATATAATTGCTATTAAAATATTTCGAATTATGCTTTCAATGTTGTTGTTTTCAATTGTTTTTTTTTTGTATGTCTTACTTTAAAAAAATCGAACCAAAGTGTTTGTGTATTGTGGAGTAAAAAACTAAGATCATTCTGTCCTACTGGATGTGTGGATCAATGGAAATCGATATGAAAAAGCTTTATTTGACGGAATTATTGGTGAATTACATTTAAATAATGTATCAATTGACTTAAAAGCAAAAATCACAAAGAAAATAAGGAGGGATACTGATCATGAAGACAGTAAACCATTTTCCCTGGATTGCGAAGTAGAAAAAGATGATTTATGTAATAGTTTAAATTAATACTTATAATAAATCAGAATTTAAGTTCGTTTATATTAAAATATCAATTCATAATAACTAAATTACTCATCAACAGTGTTTCCTAATATGGGCCTTTTAGGTGGCCGTAGTCGGATTGACTTGACACTTTTCTCACTTACTTTAAGTGCTAATATGCTATTGCAATTTCTTTTCAATTTTTTTTAAAAGTAATTGCCTGTTGTTTTGAATATGCTGTCTCTTATTTTGCTAGCTATATAACTACCTTACCTAGTCGACAAAATTTCACTTTTTATTTACGCTTCGAACCCAACTTACCTTTTCTGATAGACATATCACTGATAGAAAAAAGGCATAGTAAAAATAACTACAATCATATTTGAATTTAAAATGCCATTTTTAAATACAAACATAGTAAAATTTAATAGAATTCACTTTGATTCAAATATAAATGTATTAAAAATGCTTTTTTAATACGGTCATATTTAATCTAAATACAAAACACTTCAAAATAACTATTATATATTAAATTTGTAGTTTAATATGTTTCATATTTAAATTGAATAGTATTATGACTGGATTTCAAAATTTTTCTTTTTTAAAATCCAAAGGAAAAACTTTTTATTTTAAATATTCCATATTAAATGAAATCAAATATTTTTTGTATTTATTGGGTTAACGAAAATGTTCTAAATTATTTTTTTATGTCCCTGCTTTAATTCCCAACTAGTTTCAGCTTGCTGCTGCCTATTTTAATGCATTTTCAGAATAGCAAAGTTCTTACAACCAGACGTAGTACAGGGTGAAAAAGCCTACTAAAAAAAGCAAAAAAAATACCGACTTCCACTTCAAGTTCTGCCATACTTTCTTTAAAAAATTTTAACCCCATATTATCACAAAGTTTTAAATTCCTGAGGAACCTTTGAAATGTAATCTTAGCGCAGGGACATAATCACAACTAACAAATTTAGTTAAAACTATCACATAGGAATTGAAATGTAATTTGCGACGCAAAATATAACCATTAGATAATATAAATATAAATATGAAACATAGTTAAATTTAAATATGAAGCACATATTAACATTAAATATGAAACATATTAAATTTGAATATGAAACATATTAAATTTAAATATGAAACATATTAAATTTAAATATGAAACATATTATAAATATGAAATATATTAAATTTAAATATTTCTATATTAATATCAAAATTTAATTGAAAAATATTCAATTTTAATACAACCACTCTTGGATGAAAATCAATGGTATAAATATTAAAATCTAAGTGAAAATATTAAAATTTCAGGGCTTTTTTCTATCGGTATACTAAGGGTTTAATTTTTTAAGAATTATGGTTTTTTTCTATGGCAGAACTTATTTTAAAAGAACTTAAAAAAATGGTCTATTTCTTTACTATCAGAATGTTGTCAGAACACTAATGTTTAAGTAAAAAGTACACCTTTATTAAAATACGAAACCAAATAGTATCGAAAACTGCTACGGAAGAAAGCAAATATTGTCGTATCTTGCGCAATTGAATTGAAGTCTTTTGGCTCCTCCCATCTCACAATGCTTTCCCTAATGGCTTTTACATTTTTAATTTAGTTAAAGTGTTGTCAAACACTCCATTCAGACAGTTCCCTGCACTATCCCATGCCATTCTGCATCCCACTTCGGTGGCAGTCGGAACCAGAAAGAAGCTGACAGCGAAGAATATCAGAAATGTTTTATATACTGCATACGTATACATATCCAGTACACATATCCATATATGTAAACATATGTAGTTTCGAGGAAACATGCTCGACATGTGCACGGGTGGCAACTGCCTCGAGGTTATGTTTTCGTTTTTATACCCGTATAAGTTAAGGGGTATATTAGATTTGTGTTAAAAGTGGATGTGTGTAACGCAGAGAAGGAAACGTTTCCGACCCCATAAAGTATATATATTCTTGATCAGCATCAATAGCCGAGTCGATATAGCCATGTCTGTCTGTCCGTCTGTCTGTCTGTCTGTCTCGATGAGTGCCTAGATCTCAGAGACTATAAGAGCTAGGGCAACTAAATTTGGTTTCCAGAATCATATGATATCCCACTGCTACAAGTGTATTTCAAAACTTCGCCCCCACAAAGGACTAAAATCTGTGGCAGGCACAATTTTAAAGATACGATAAAACTAAAAACGGATAATCGTAGAGAACGACCATATCTACCAGACTGCCGAAATTAATTTTCATTTGTTTCCCCTTCCCCCTCCTGCCTACGACCAGGCAACTCATTTTCCTTCTCGCTCGCACACTCTGCCGCGTTCAGTGCGCGAGCAACCCCTAGCGGAGGAGATGTAGAATCTAAATTGTACATGTATAATCTACTTGTTAGATGTATAATATACATAATATATGTAGATGTAGATAACAGATTTAGCAAAAAAATGTAAAATGTGAATTTTTTTTTTTAATTCTAAAATTCTAAAAAATCATATGCTCAGAAATGTATATACTGACTGAGTACGGGTATAAGTAGAGTCGCGTGCCCAGAAGCGACTCAAACGTTCCTTCTCGTTGGCTTTCTGTTAGTTCTGAATGTATTCATTCTTTCGTTCGGCGACATTCATTTCTTTTCATTAAATATTCTTACAACTTTCCATTGCATGTGCCATAACCACATTGCACTGTGGTTACAATGCATTGTAGGAACATCTCCACACGTCACCCACATCCAGGAACAGCTCTCTTTGTGCCCACGGATAGCAGGATGTGTTGTAGGTGTTCGCTGTGGTCACGCCAAATAGACCCTCGATGACGAAAACTAATTGTAGAGGTAATGCTTTCACGAATTTTAGCAAAAAAGGCGAGAAGCAATGGTCTCTCAGAAAATCTTTTGAGAATTAAAAAACAGTAAATTTCCACCACATATTTATCTTGGAGATCTGAGAAATTTGGAGATCGCGGTACACATGAAGGTACTTGTGTATATATACATAAATAAAATAATTAAAAATTCAAAAGATGGTCACGAGTTCCACTCAACCAGGCCTACAACGTAATTGTAAAAGAACTGTAGCACAGTGCTATTGTTTTCTCGGATGCAACCCAATCCCTGCAGTTCTGGCATGAAATTCTAGCATGAAATTCTGTCCAGCTTCAACTGCTGCAGACACGTAAGAAAGAGAAGCAGATATCCATAGATTTCCCTCTCTCTCATATTTTCAGTTTTCTCTACCCGCATTCGACCAGAACTCTTCTACTCACGCTCATTTCGTCTCCTCAACGGGATGATGGGAGAAAAACCGATTACTTGGTACTATTTTCTATTTAGATGTTTATTCCTTTTAAAAGTAGTTTTTCAGTGTTTCTAAAGTCAGGTTAGTGGATTCAGTGATTACAGTGTGCGTTGTTAGTTAAATTAAATTGTTACATGGGTTTCGCTAGAAAAAAGATGTCTAGATTCTAAAACATTCTAGCCGCTTGGTTAATCACGAGTGATTTCATATAGGACATTTTCGGAAGTGTCCCGAGTGAAATTACTCATGGCTTATACGTATAAGCCACCGGTGAAATCACTAGAAAATTCAGTGAAAATTTCATATGAAGTTTCACGGGTGACAAAAGCGGACATGCCCATACAAATTTCATCTGGAGTTTCGCCAGTGAGTCACCACAGGCTTATGACATGCCGTGAGTGATTCAGCGAATGAATCACGAGTGAAAAGTGACTTTTGGAACTGCAGAGATACGTGCTATGTACGTGTGCCACACAGTATTTCTTCAGATTTCAAGACATTACTATTCCTGCAATGAAATGCAATGTATAAAAAACTGAGCAGTGATCTGAGCACTGACATTCTTACTACGAGGGGTGCTTTTTATACCCGTACTCAAAAAAGAGTTAAGGGGTATATTAGATTTGTGGTAAAAGTGGATGTGTATAACGCAGAGAAGGAAACGTTTCCGACCCCATAAAGTATACATATATATTCTTGATCAGCATCAATAGCCAAGTCGATATAGCCATGTCTGTCTGTCCGTCTAGGGCAACCAAATTTGGTTTCCAGACTCATGTGATATCACACTGCTACAAGTGTATTTCAAAATTTCAAATCGGATCATAATTATAGCCAGAATGAAGAAATTCATTTTCAGTTGCTTCCCCCGCCTCCCCCTGCCGAGACCTGTTACTCATTCTCTTTCTCGCTCGCACACTCTTCCTCGTTATGTACGCGAGCGCTTTCTAGCGGAGGAGATGTAGAATATAAATGGTACATCTATAATCTGCATGTTAGATGTATAATATACATAGTAAATGAAGCAAAAAAATGTAAAATGTAAAATTCTAAAAAATCATAAGCTCAAAAATATATATACTGACTGAGTACGGGTAGAGGTAGAGTCGCGTCCCCAGAAGCGACTCTGACGTTCCTTCTCGTGTTTTTTGCAAACAGAGCTTAATGAATGGTACTTTGATGGAAAAATTATATTTATAGTCTAGCAGTTAAGGTCCACATACAAAAAAAGAGAGCGGCTGTGTAATATATTAAACGGTAAAAGCCGGCTATACTTTTAGCCTATAGATGATATTTTAATCGTAGTTATAGGTAAGCGCCGGAGTTTAAATCGAAGCAGATGCACTCCGTATGTTTCCTTTCTACCTAATGACCAATTTACTGGAATTGTAAAATATTGGATCTGTTTGTTATTCTGCTACATCTGTCTTTCTCTCACTCCTCACAACACGAGCCGTTGTATACGCACACTACACGAGGCAAAGTTTGAGAGCGAGAACGATTAACATCGTGGAAAGGTGTAGCGTAACCATTGAAATATTATTTGTTCCTTCTGGCTATAATAATAATCCCATCTGATCCAGATTCGACAACCTGAACATTCTGAACAAATAAACAAACAACACAAATATTCAGAGAGATTGGAATTCGGAAACATATGAAAATTATATATTCGAAAATATCTAGTTGCGGGTCTACCCTTCCTGCTCCACCTTCAGATGAAATTCTGCCACTAAAACGCGATTCAGAGATCCACAATAAAGCGACAACGCTTTATAGAACTAAGCTGTACAAAAAAATGTTAATCTGCTGGCCCTGGGGAAAAACCACAGCTGCATTCGCTGGAAAAATGAAATACTCAGCGCCCGGGTTCGTAGCCCCTTTGCAGCATGTTGTTAGCATCAGGCACACACACAGCATCACACCGTCGCAGCTAATTCGCATTTGATTATTTAAATTAGCAAAATGAGTGACAGACCGGACCGGAATGGAGCGAACCAAAAACACGCTCTCAAATTGAATAGTTTGTGTCGCTGCCGGTGTCCGAAAAGATCCAAAAATAAACAACATCAAAATACCCAGGCGGGCTGGTCCACTGTACTTGTTTGTGCTGTCCAGTACTGCTCTGGGAGCCCGAGCCCGTTGAACTGAGTGACGAATATTGCGACGCGGCGCTGCACAAACGGAGGAGCTCGCAGACCAACCAGCAGAGCTCTGGGCAAAGCAAATTCACTTTTTCAGAAAATGTATTTAGTGCAGGGGCGACATTCGCAGCGGCAACGAAAGCGACAGCGAGAGCGACAGACATAAGCCATAACCACTCACACATACTACACACATATATGCGAACATTGCGGACGGACAGCTTTGAGCACCGCGGAAAGCAGCGAAAACTGGGAGAAAGAGAAACCTGCACGAAGCGGGGGAGTAACCAGAAGAATAGGAATTCTATCCAGAAACGGGCTGGTGCTGCTGCTGCTGCTGTGTCGCTCAGACTAGAACTAGACCAGACCAAGAGCAAACTAAACTACGCCAAGAAAAGCAGCCAAATCCTTGAAAAAGAAAATGGCCAAATTAGTGACGTATATCTTCATCGTCAGCTCCGTAGTACTGTGGTATCTTCTGTTATTCGATGGCAGCAGAGGCGTGGAGGCCACCAACGGTCATGGCAGCCAGCTGGAGGGGCGTGACTTCCACCACCACGGCGGGAGCCATCACATACGCCGTAAGTAGCTGTCATTGTGACTGTTAGCCATCCTCGGTCCCATCTCTAGGATTGCTTTCGCCAGGTAACATCAATCACTGCTGGCGTCGCTACGATGGCTACAATCTGCAAAACACCATTGTCAATAAGAAGGAGCAGCTGAAAAAGCCCTATGGCATATTGTGCAACTTCAAGTGCACTTGGTTCTTCACAACAAGGTGAGCCGTGAGGGTGTGACCACTCTCATTCTACTCTCGCTTTCTTGTTACAGCTTCCCCACTTGCGAGTTCATCTACGACTATAAATTATCCTGCGTACTGTTCACTTCACTGCCCGACTGTACCACCGTCAAGTGTACTCTCTTAAATTATTTTAGCTAGAGTTACCAGCCCAGGCCCTAACACAATGTAGGCCATATCCATATAATGTTAACTATTGTATTTATTTCAGCAGCAGTTATAAGCTTTTTTTTCATAGCATAAGTCTGATTATTACTAGATTTTATATGGAAATATAGGAAATTACTCTTGAAACAAAATGAAAATATAAATGTATATTCACGAAAAACAGAAGCTCTTTAAATCATCTGTTTAAATTGTATACTTGATTTATGCCACTCAGATGATCCGCTAGTTCGTTCATCCGCGTTCATCAGCGCCTGCACTCAAAGTTCGTTCTGAAAGGCCTGACTTCAACTAACTGGAATCTGCTCAGCCCCAAGGCCATTTTCACTTCATATATTGGCTAAATTTAAATGCTACTAGAGCTGTCAGTGGAACCAACTCTTCCTTCGGCTCTTCTCAGTCCCATCCATCGACATCGAGCAGCCCTTTGTGATGGAGAGCCACGCCATACACCTGTAAGCTAGCCAAAAAGCAATCCAATTTTTGTGGTAAACAAATTTGAAACACTTTGTTACCGTCGTCGTTTTTGCTTTTTTTTTCTCCGTATCTTTTTTGTTGGATGCTGCCTGGTTAAAAGCGATATTTCCGCTCAAGTTGATGGAGGTTTTGGGATGGGGAGCTAACCAAACTTTTCCAAGTTAGGATAGGCGGGAGCTCAGCTCGGGCAAACTTCTCGCCTCCGCTAACAGCCGCAAATATATCGTTCGACGTTTATAAGCAAGTCAAACTTATGCCAAAGCGTTTCCTGAATATTTTTGTACCCGCGGATGGGATGGAGAGGGATGGATGCTCATCGGAAGAGTGGGGTTGAAGTTGGCGTTGGCATTAGCAGGAACTGGCTAAAAATAAGATTAATTTCGTGGCTCCACTCAATGGAGCTGTTAACTTGCGCACCTGAACCACAGAAGGGTAGCGCACAAAAGTGCTATCGCTGCCGCATATGCGAGTTTCAGTGAGCGGGGGGTCACACACAGCGAATGAGGTACAGGGGAAACAACGAACAACTCACACGCCTCAAATGCGGCTTGGTCCAGATGGACCCGCACTTTAATGGATTCAAACGAAATGACATTGATCGCTGAAGGCCAACGTACCCCGCAGCAGAAGATCAAGTGATCTCAACTCGGCTCGAGTGGATTTCGGCTCTGTCCGTGTATTCGTCACTGGGATTTGGGTCGTGGTCGTTGTGCGTTGAAAGGGGGAACGCAATAGGGATGGACTGCGGATCGGAATGGAATGAAGCGGGTAGGTCGGTTTGGAATTAGTGCGTAATTCGCTCCCATGCTCACATGTTAGCTTGCTTGGGTGCGTGGGCTGTTGCTGGCTTCTGTATATTTCAATGTTGATTGGCAAATTACGGCAATTTCTGGGCACTGGGAATTTGATTATTTTAAAATAGTTATGAACAAATTAATTAACATAGCGCAAAATTGTGCAACCATCTGGTGGGGCAATTTCAGGCAATTTTGATTAAATATACATTCAAAATGAATTCGTCGGTTTTTCAAATAATATTGAAACTTAGACCCTAGTTCATATTGATAATAAGGTATTTTTATTTTTATACCAGTACTCAAAAAAGAGTTAAGGGGTATATTAGATTTGCGGTATATATGTGGATGTGTGTAACGCAGAGGAGGACACGTTTCCGACCCCATAAAGTATATACATATATTCTTTATCAGCATCATTAGCCGAGTCGATAGAGCCATGTCTGTCTGTCCGTCCGTCCGTCTTGTTTGTCGCCTGGATCTCAGAGACTATAAGAGCTAGGGCAACCAAATTCGACCAAATTTTGACCCGATCTGATTCAGATTCAGCAATCTCGTAGATATGATTCTCTACGATACTGCCTTTTCAGTTTTATCGTATCTTTAAAATTGTGCCTGCCACAGATTTTCGTCCTTTGTGGGGGCGGAAGGAGGCGGGGCGAAATTTTGAAATCACTTGTAGCAGTGTGATATTACATGAGTCTGGATAGAAAATTTGGTAGCTCTAGCTCTTATAGTCTCTGAGATCCAGGCGCTCATCGAGACGGACAGACGGACAGACGGACGGACGGACAGACAGACATGGCTATATCGACTCGGCTATTGATGCTGATCAAGAATATATGTACTTTATGGGGTCGGAAACGTTTCCTTCTCTGCGTTGCACACATCCACTTTTACCAAAAATACAATATACTCCTTAACTATTTTTTGAGTACGGGTATAAAAAGCGCAACCTGAACTTTATCTCGATGATTCATATGTTTAGATTTCGTAAGAGAAAAAATTTAGATTTAGATTTTTAAATTCAATTAAAAACTAACCTTTTTATTTAATTAAAGACTATAATTTGAAGCATAAGCCGGGATAGAAATGGTCTATATAGTGCGAGGGAAGTTTTATTTTTATAAATCATATTTATTTCTAGTTTTAAATTTGGTAATATATGTAGCTATGTATAGCTTTTGCTACGTATTTGAAAGCGAAACGCTAAAGGTGTCGGCAGCAAGAGCTGTATATCCCAGTCGAGACTTAATCCGAACCCGGTAGAAGAGATATAAATCCAAAACGAAGGCGAGGTTGAGACTGACCCAGACGAACAAAAGTGCGAGAGCGAAGGTGACGAAGTATTTCTATCTCGCTCCGGACCTGGCAATCATATCAGAGAGCAGCAAAAGAGAGTCAAGCAAAGAGGCGGATGAGGCATCCCACATGAGCGCATACAATAATTTATCAATTGGCATCAATTTAGGCGCACATAAACGAAACACAGCCCCAAACCTTCGGAATTTCTTCCCCATTTTGATTTGCTGGTGTTGTCGCTCCGGCTGCGTCTCCTGTTTATTCGCGATTTTCGGCACATTCGCGACACCCATCGCAGGCTGCAGTTAAGCAGCGCGCCGAGACATTCACATTCCCGCGAAGCACTCAAAGCACTCAGACACGCAGGCATTCTGAGCCGCTCCATGGCACAAACGGACTTCTACTCAGACGGGGCTTGTACTTTCGATTGTTGCGCAATGGCCAAATCGATGGCACCGGCGCGAAACACCAAGGGAGCCACAACCACTGCCATACACACACGCAGAGGCACCACAACAGTCACATTTGTGCTGCTGTTGGTCCTATGCTGCTTGTGCGATTACAACTATGGAAGTACGTAACTCAGCCATTTGCCTCCATCCCGACTATTTTTTTCCCGTTTTTTTTTTTTTATCTTTTTGTTCAAGTGTTAGGCCGAAATCAGACTAGAATTCGGCCATTGTGCTTATGAGTGCTTTAATTTTCTACATATGTACATAAATATGCACATATGTAAATTGGGTGATTTTTTCAAATAATCGTACTTGAATAAACGTTTCAACAGAAAATACCATAAAGATTTTATGAACTGAACTAGCGCTCAGGACCATATGAAAAATGCACAAAACTCTATCGACGAAAGTTTGTACAGAATATGTATCCTAAAAATTCATATATATGTACACAGACACAGACACAGAAAAATAGTTCCAGATGTATTTGAAATGCATACAAGTCTTCCTTGTAAATTGAATTTCAGAATTTTTGAGGGGAAATCATGGCTAAATCAGCTGAGTAAGACTTTACAAAAATAATATGAAAGTTTAAAGTTGATTGCAGCTGTTCGCGTACGATTTCTGTGCAGAATTGATGGGGGAAGGGGAACTTTCCTCTTTTTATCGAATATTTTATTATAAAAATTGTCGAATCTAAGCTGTTTGCCAACCTATGTGAAAACGAGAACGTAACCATGCAAATAAGTGACGCACGATCTAAGTCTGGCAAACAGATTGGTTGCTTTGCACTTTCTCACATTGAGTCGTATGTGTTTTTGGGTGTGACCATATTTGAGTACCGTTCACAGGCTGGGCATCACAGTGCTGGAGGAAGCACAATTCCGGCTCGATTCAAACGGGAGATGGTGAATTTAAGCGACCATTTGGTATACTCTGCACATATCGCTGCTTCCTCTGGTTTCCGCCGATGTAAGTTCTGCAATCACTCACTCACTCACTCACTCACACTCACTAAAACACATTCGTATTGCCATTGAAATATTCACCCAGTCTCCCCCTCGTTCGTTCGTACATATATGTACTGATATACTCACACACACAACATACAATTTATGCATGCCCCTGTTATTTTGTGGTGTGAATTGCATTTTAAAATAAACTTATTTGGCTTTTTCTTCGGGTTTGCTTTTTGGACCTTGGGCTTTGGGGTACAAAACACACATACGCACATACACACATCCGCACATATGAACATGTACAGTGGTAGCTCTCTTCTGTAAACACTCACGGTTATAGTACTTTTATCCTTAAAAAATTTGGGATGGAAATGTCCACTGTACAGGTGTACACTGTACATGCATATATGGCATTTGAATTGCATAGCAATTAAAATGGCTGGTAGCAGTTTCAGATTGTTTTGTATCGTTTTTCTGTGGCAGCCAGAGGTGCTACTGCCATCGCATCGCCATCGTCATAGCCATTCGGAATTCATATTTTATCAGCTTTTTCTCCTTTTTTTGGTGCTTCACCCACCCTCCATCCATTCACACACAACACACCATTACCTGCATCCAGAAATCGCTCTGTTTTCAGTGTTTTCTCTCTGATTGCAGTTACCCGTACTGCGAATTCATTTTCGATCTGCGCTTATCGAGGCACTTCACGTCGTTCCCGGACTGCTACGAAATACGCTGCAACGAGACGTTCACGTTCTTCGGTCACGAGCAGCAGAACTTCTGACACCTCATGCACGGCGGTTCAGCTTCTTTATGTGTAATCTTCTTCTCGTGCTTCTAATGCTGACTATTCCATACTTTTGTTTAATGTTTTTCCGTGACTTCATGCTGTCTGATTTAATAAATATGGTTATCTGCGTTGAAAAAGGGGTTATTTACTGAAGGAGTTTCTTCGAGAGGGCTGAGACCACGATAAAAATGAGAATACTATCCCACAAATTTTGTGATTTCGCACGAACTAAAAAAACAGCAACCGCTCTACGCTCACTAGTCCTTTATCTCCATTCTTCATTCTCTACTTGAAGAACTCCACTGTGGATAGACTGAGAGCAGTGTTCATTCTTTGGGTACAGGGTAGCACAGTTTTGACCACCGAAGCCAAATGGAATGCCCAATACAAAAATAAACAAGAAGGAACGTGTGAGTCGCTTCTGTGGATGCGACTCTACTCTTATACCCGTACTCATTATACTCTTATACCCGTACTAGATTATACATACACAATGTAGATTGTACATCTCCGCAAAGGCCGAGCATTGCACAGTAACCAGTGTGTGCGAGCGAGAAAGAGAATGAGTAGCGTGGTCTCTTGCTGGAGGAGGTGGGGAAGGCAACTGAAAATTAATTTATTCATTCTGGCTTTAATAATGATCCGATATGATTCACATTCGATAGTCTGGTAGATATGGTCATTCTCTACGATACTGCGATACAACTTTAGTTCTATCGTATCTTCAAAGTTGTAACTGCCACAGATTTTCGTCCTTTGTGGTGGCGAAAGGGGACGGAAGGACGGAAATTTTGTTTCTTATTGCTGTCGAAGCCATACATATGTAAATTTTTGAGCTTATAATTTTTTAGAATTTTAGAATTAAAAAAAAACATTTTTTTGCTAAATCTGTTATCTAGATTTTACATGTACCAATTATATTCTACATCTACGGCGCTAGAGGGCGCCCGCGTACATAACGAGGCAGAGTGTGCGAGCGAGAAAGAGAATGAGTAGCGTGTCTCTGGCAGGGGGAGGCGGGGGAAGCAACTGACAATGAATTTCTTAATTCTGGCTATAATTATGATCCGATCTGATTCAGATTCGGCAATGTGGTAGATATGGTCATTCTCTACGATACTGCGATACTTTAGTTTTCTGGTATCTTCGAGTTGTGTCTGCCACAGATTTTCGTCCTTTGTGGTGGCGGTAAGGGGAGGCCCGAAATTTTGAAATACACTCGTAGCAGTGTGATACCACATGAGTCTGGAAACCAAATTTGGTTTCTTTATCTCTTACAGTCTCTGAGATCTAGGCGCCCATCGAGACGGACAGACGGACGGACGGAAAGATGGATGGACGGACGGACAGACGGACATGGCTGTATAGACTCGGCTATTGATGCTGATCAAGAATATATATACTTTATGGGGTGGGAAACGTTTCCTTCTCTGCGTTACACACATCCACTTTTACCACAAATGTAATATACCCCTTAACTCTTTTTTGAGTACGGGTATAAAATTATTGACTGAAGAAAATTTTGAAAAAGGCGAAAAAAAATGCCGTTTCTATTATTTTTTCCATCACTGTATATATGTGTGCCAAAAACAACATGTATTGCGTGTGCATGTCTCTGAAGAGTGAACCTCATCTTGGAAAGTACTTTTTGTTGTTGCTGCTGTTGTTAGACTGCAAATCTAAAAAGCATGGCCACCGCTGTTTTAATTGATTAAAATGATGGTGATTTTCTTTACTCCTCTGCGGCTGGCCCTTCGTAGATTTCCGGAAACGGGGCGTCTCCATAATGAAGGACTAACAAAGGGACATATAAACCAAACTCAGGCAAAGATACGGCTACACACACACCAAAGAGGAGAGAACCTAGCCTTATTCAATTTACAAACATTTGCATTCAAATTAGTATTTGGGTTGACTCGAGCCCAAAAATAGGGTAACTGACTCGCCCAGAGGAGTGGGCAGGATAGCTGTTCATCTGAAAATTCTCTGGCTCTTTCTCTCACCCGCTAACAGAGTGATAGCACAAACAACTTCGCTCAATCTGCTCTTCTCGCTCTCTCTACTAATGGACGCTAGTCGCTCGAGGTAATTGTTTGCCTAGTTTCAGTAAAATACATTTTACGCCTTTGGCAACGACACGTACGAGTACAGATATCTGCTCACACCCAAGTGGTACCCCACACCTCTTTTCCTCCAGTCAAGGCAAGCTATACGGCTTAGTGCGGTTGGCCAAGTGGAAAACCGTCGGTCGCGCCGAGCGTAGAGTAAAGCGGATTTTGGGGTGACAATAGCCATGTGAAATCAAAAGGTTGGAGCAGACAATGTTGTCGCTAGAAACTTTTAACTTTTACAAACATAATTGTTCCCTGCTCTAAAAATATATTACACAGCAGCGTCTTCGAGCTCTTTGAATTCTTGTGATGTACGATAGTGCGTTTGCAATTTGCGAAGCTTTGTCTTTTAAAGGCATTGGATTAGTATAACCATCTGCCCCTACAGCAAATTTAATGCTCTTCGGGAATACAATGCATTTTGTTCTATCTTCTATCTTCTATCGAATCGTAATCAGTGTTATTATTATGTCATTGGCTGAGGGCTTGGGTGGTTGTGTATATTCTTGTACCGAATCTGGAAGCTAACTGTCGTCTACTTCTTGTGCCAGCCAGCGTCTCTTCGCTCAGGCAATACATGGCACTGTACATGGCACTGTATCATACAATTTCTCTTCTATCGAAATTTCTTTTTGATTCTTCTCTCTCTGAGGCAACCAACACACTCCACTCCGCGCCACACTCGGCTGAGACGACACTCACTCGTTCTCAATCCTCGCTCTCAGCAACAACGCATAATTTACTGCGTCCTTCTTTATTGATATTCTCTTAATGATATACATTTATGTTAACCCTGCATCATTTCTCATACATTTAAAGCTAAAAATTTAGTTTATTTTTTAATTGTAAATACAAAAAAGAGTTTAGTGTGATTCTTATTCCGTTTTTTTGGTCATAGATAAAATCGCAGCTGTAAAATCAGCTCAAGATTGAAGACCAATTCCAAGACGATCTGCAAGAAGTGAGTGCCAGATCAAGACTATTAAGGGGCAGCTGGGCATGCTCCAAAGTAAGCGAGTCCTTTTGTGAGCGCGAGAAATCAAGAGAACGGAAGAGAAAGAGAGAAAGAAGTGAAATCAAGAGACGAAAGACGGCCTGATTTATTCCCGACGGAGTATTAAAAGTTTTATAAACTGTAGGGACAAGTTGGGGGCCATTTATGTCAGCTTATTTATTTTTGAATGCGTCACACTTTTATAACAAAATTTTTTGGTCAAAATCTACCAAAAATTATGGTGTTAGAAAATTAAATATTTGATGTATCTCCCTCATACCATTAAACAAGTTTTTTAAATTTAACTATTATTGTATCTAGTACCTTCTTTTTCACTTCAAGGTTCTCTGACATTCGAAAAAACGTTTATTTCCACCTGTACTGTTAAGCGCAATACTTACTGCTGTTGCCTGGTCCAAATAAATATTGGGAAACTCACTTATCAACGCTATTTTTCAAAATTATTAAAAATTGGTAAGCATTTGTGACGACCCCAAAAATTGGTTTGAATTTTATATTTGGGATTTTTCCCTGACCAGTGTTGTGAAATGTGTTTTTTTCATAGTAGGAAACCACAATTGGTAAACCATCAAGAAAGTTGTGCTATTTGACTGTTTATTTATGTTCTCTTAAATTAAAATGAAAAATTAAATTAAATTGTGAACAAGTAAATTTAATTACATTTCTCGACAAAACTGGACTCTTTTACGCTTCGAACCAAACCGACTTTTTCTCATCGATTGGGACCTTTAAATTAACTGGTAATTTTTTGTTAAGCTTTTTTCAGAGGTAGCGCTTCTTTTTTCACATAACTTAATTACACTACTCGACAAAATCCAACTTTTTTTTTTCCCTCCTTTCCTTAAAGTCAAAATTTCGTAAAAAATACCAAATAAAAATCATCCTTTTTCATTTCAATGCTTTATATTTCCCAGACGCTAAGCTAAAATCGTTTGGGCTAACCATGTAGCTGTTTTAATTATCTTTTCAAAATAGCAAAGTTCTTTACAACCAGACGTAAGATAGTAGAGGTACGTGGAAAAAAGAAGCGCTACCTCTAAAAAAAGCTTTAAAAAAAATACCAGATTTAAAAAATTCTTCAAAAAAAGTTCTGCCATAGAAAAAAACTGTAACTGTACCCTATTTTATATATCACCAAGCAATGATTGTTTACTTGTATGTAATTTCAATTTTTATACACGTAAAATTAAAAAATGGCAAAACAACCATTGCTTGCTAGGCCAGCAACGGTAAGACGGTATAGATATATCGATTTTTGTGCATATTTGTACGCGTTGTTATGTAAGAGTTATGAACGTCTCAAATGGACTGTTACGTTACACAAATTAGGAAGTAGGTTTTAAATTTGTGCAACCCTTTCGAAGAAGTCTGCTATTCTGCTTGACTATTTTTAACGAGTAATACAACATTTTAGCTTAAAGATGGAAGTAATAAAGTAAATTTTAGTTATGTCAAAAACTATTTTTTTCCTTTTTTGACAAGCAAAAATGTGCGCACTGTTACGTTACAAAAAAGACTGTTACCTTAAATATGCGACAAAGACAGCTACAAAGTCGGAAGCACATATGACTATGCATTCAAGAGTCAAAATATGCTTCCTCACATTCATTTTGGCAGTTGCGCCAATACCATCGATAGAACATTTCTCGTGGGAAGTAAAAAAAAAGTTCCAGTTTATTTTTATTTCGAATTTTTATCCTTTTGAGCCTTGTTCATTTGTATCTAAACATCAGAAGTATGTTTGAGCTTAAAAAACAAATATAATACTAATATATTTGATTACACTACTCTACAAAATTGAAATTTTTTCCCGGCCAAAAATGACTTTTTCTGATAGATTTCGGGATACACAAATTTTAGTTTTTTTAAAGAATTTTTTTATTTTTATACCCGTACTCAAACAGAGTTTAGGGGTATATTAAATAAGGAAACGTTTCCGACGCCATAAAGTATTTCTTGATCAGCATCAATACCCGAGTAGATAGAGCCATGTCTGTCTTTCCGT